AGTGCTGTGGCATCACAGCTCACAGCAACCTCCAACTCCTGGGCTCAAGCGAGTCTCCTGCCTCTGCCTCCCAAGTAGCTGGGACTATAGGTGCCTGCCACAATGCCTGGCTCTATTTTTGGTTGCAGCCATCATTGTTGTTTGGTGGGCCCAGGCTGGATTCCAACCCGCCAGCTCAGGTGTATGTGGCTGGTGCCAAGCCGGCAATTCTAAATCTTAAGGACTTTGTGATCTGGAGCCAATTTAGGCTGTCCTGGTGAGACGAATAATTTTTCTCTAGACTTTCAACTTCTGAATGAGAGACTGGACTAAATCTTTAATAAACTCTGAGACTGACCTGAACTGGAGATCTGGTATTAGTTTAAATTTCTTAGACAAGATCACAAGCCCAAGAAATTCAAAGAGAAACTGGCTGGCCTTGGGTATATCTAGCAGTGGCAGCTCCAAGGATAGACACCAATGTACTTCTGAGATGGTATCTGGAAGCCCTTTGGGAATACTGCTGTCAGTTTTCCCTCCTGAGGGTAGTCCTCAGCATTTTTTCATTATTTTGTATGTAAGGCCCAAATTGAAATTAATGTATAAAGGGCATGAAGTAGGGCATAGTTGATGGAGTGCTAGCCTGGGAGTTTGGAAACCCCCTATGAGGTGTATGATCTTGGTTGCATGGTTGAATCAATTTCCCTCTCTCAGTTTCAATTTCTTCATCTTCTCTCTCTTTTTTTTTTGAGACAGTCTCACTTTGTTGCCCTTGGTACAGTCCCGTGGCATCATAGCTCACAGCAACCTCAAACTCCTGGGTTCAAGCGATCTTCTTGCCTCAGCCTCCCAGTAGTTGGGATTACAGGCACCCACCATAGCGCCCAGCTATTTTCAGAGACAGGTCCTGCTCTGACTCAGGCTGGTCTTGAACCTATGAGCTCAGGCAATCCCCCTGCCTTGGCCTCCCAGTCAGTTTCAATTTCTTCATCTGTAAATAGGGAGATTGGATTAGACAGTCTCAGTTCCTTTCAGCTCCAATATTGAGATACTTATAATTTTTCTGTTTCTTCAATTGATTATCTAGAAGATTGAGACAGTATGTAGTCACCTGAGGGAGACTGAATTTTCTTTCTTCTGTTTTTTTCCCCCCAAGACAGAGTCTCCTTCTGTTGCCCAGGCTAGAGTGCTATGGCATCGGCTAGCTCACATCAACCTCAAACTCCTGGGTTCAAGTGATTCTCTTGCCTCAGTCTCCCCAGTAGCTGGGACTACAGGTGCCCTCTACAACAGCCAGCTAACTTTTTCTAGTTTTAGTAGAGACAGGGTCTTACTCTTGTTCAGGCTGGTTTTGAACACCAGAGCTGAAGCAATCCTCCTGCTTCAGCCTTTCAGATTGCTAGGATTACAGATGAGCAATGGTGCTGAGTTGACACTGGATTTTTCCTTAATATGAGTATTAGTGAAACATTCCAACATTGTGAAAAGTGAAAAATAAGGCTATGGGAATGATCTAATCTTTTACATACATACATATATATATATGTGTATATATATATATAATTTTTTTTTTTTTTGAGACAGAGTTTCACTTTGTCACCCTGAGTGCCATGGCATCATCATAGCTCATAGCAACCTCAAACTCTTGGGCTCAAGAGATCCTCTTGCTTCAGCCTAACAAAGTAGCTGGGACCACAGGCGCCTACCACAACATCTGGCTAGTTTTCAGAGACTGGGTCTCCTGAGTTCAAAGGATCTTCCCAGTTTGGTCTTCCAGAGTGCATGAGCCACTGCACCCAGCCCTATACTTCTACATAGATCTCAAAGGACCAAGAACAGTTTCTTATAAAACATTTATAACTTTGATAATATGCACAGTAGATATTATTTATTACTATATGCTGTTTAAAGTGTCTGTTTCCCATAAGATACTCATTCATATTGTGGGGAAAAATTGACTGGAGACAGAAAGAGGTTATATTTCCTATTTTAATAGAGGACCAGGAAGGAGTAGGTAAAGTAGTAGTAATCCCTAACTATTTATATGTAGTGTCACTGTCCATTCCCTCATGTTTATGGCTACAATACTAGTTACAATTACTGTTTCTTATGAATCATTGTACTAAGTATTGTTACCTCACAACAGTCACTATTATTACCAGTAATTAGCACAATGAGAGAATTTGAGTCCCAAATGTGTGTGACCAGAAGCTAGGCTTTTTAAGCTGCTATATTTTACTTTTACTTGGTAGTAAGACAGTGGAGGTTGAATGCTTTTTCCCTTTCCAAAACCTCCTGGCATTACAGACTTTACCGCTCACTTATCCTAGCCCTGTTTGTTGTTGAAATTGTTGAAATCCTATCTCAGAGGGAACCAAAAAATTTGGTTCTAGTTTTGCTGCCTTCTATTTCTGGGCAAGGCATGTAAACTCTCTGGATCTCACTTATTTGTAAAACAGAGAGATACTTGAAGGTAGGTGACCTGTCTTATTTATCCTTCCCATTCCTCACCCCACCTTGGATCTACCAGTGTCGGCCAAGTAGTGGAGTTTAAAAAACACTTGCTGAGCCCGGTGTGGTGGCTCATGCCTATAATCCTAGTATTCTGGGAGGCCAAGGTTCATGAGTTCGAGGCTAGCCTAGCAAGAGCGAGACCCATCTCTAAAAATAGCCGGGCGCTGTGGCGGGCACCTGTAGTCCCAGTTACTGGGGAGGCTCAGGCAAGAGAATAGCTTGAGCTCAGTTTGAGGTTGTTGTGAGTTATGACGCCACAGCACTCTTCTACCAAGGGTGACAAGGTGACACTCTTGTCTCAAAAACAAACATTTGCTGATAGAAGAGGATAGATAAGGAAAATATACTTCCTTTCCCATTCTTTCATCTTGAAATGAGACCTCGACCAGGCAGGTGTACCATAGATATACTAGTACTTTGCCTTCCGTTTTAAAAACAGAGTAAGGCATGTCAAATTCCCATGATTTCACCTTATTTTGAAACGGCTGTTCCTGACGGAGTGGGTGGAAGATTATGTGTGGTTTTCATCTGAACCTGTAAGTGATGTTTGTTTGAAGATCTTCATTTTCTGGAGACACGATGCTAACGTTGCGTAACACAAACATTGAAAGCGGCTCTGCAAATAAGTCCTAAGGCACGAGTTGCTGATGCCTCCTGGGAAGGCTGGGTTCTGAGAGCGTTTGCTACTTGACCTTGCCACGGCCTCTGCCCTCACAGGACTTCAGTTTCCCCACCTGCAAAATGGTGTTGTCGTCACAGACGAAAATCCCCGAGTCGCTCCCTGGACACTAGGCCTTTACTCCTCCCCTGAGGGGTGGGGATGGGGCGGGGCGAGGCGACGGTCAGGCCAGAAGCGCGCGCGGCCGCTGGGCCATCCCTTTTCTCCTTCCCGCTTTCAGCTTCCTTGCTCTTCCGCGGTGAGGTCACGGGACAGACGTCAGCGGGTTGTGACACCACTGAGGGACTGGCCTCCGGGAGAGGAAGGGGCGGGGCCTAGGCGAGCGACGCTTGCGCAGTGGGCGCGGCGCGGGAGGCGGAGGCGGTG